AAAAAAAAAAAAAAAAAGGAAAAAAAAAAAAAAAATGCAAAAAAAAAAAAAAAAAGGAAAGGGAAAAAGGGGAAAAGAGGAAAAGTGGAAAGGGGGGGGGGGGAAGGAAAGGGGAAAAACTGAGCAAACAAACCCCTGATTTTTTATGAATACCAAACACATTGTGCCTTTTCATTTCCAAAATCAGCTTAAACAGTTTTTGTTATGATTATCTGTGAAGAGATCTTAGGCATTTCTCCCATTCCTAAAATACTTGATTGCAGAAGTCATCTATTACAGGCTAAGCCTTATCTGAGCCCTATGGGAGTCCCCAGAGATTGGCTGCTGGGCTTCCATCAGCTGCAGGCACAGCTCAAAGCCTCCACCTCCTGCACTTTCTGGAAAAGAATATCCAATCTTATTAAAATACTGGCAGATTGTATATACAGACACTGGTGCTGGACTTCAGAGGAAAAAATGTTCATTTTAGAATTGAATGGTACTTTTCACATCAGCCTGACTGCTCAGCAGTCCTGCACTGTCATGTGGAATCAGCAGCAGGATTTCTACTGGAAAACAAATTGCACTGAATAAGGACCATGCCTGAGGTTTTTCTGGGAAGGGATATTGCTGCCTTCTTTTTTGGTAACCACACTTGGCTTCTATAAAATATACTGGTCAGCACTGTCAATACTCATGGTCATGACAAGCTCCCTGATGTGGGATTTTCTGAAAGAAACATTACAAAAGTGAAGAGGTTTTTTTGTTAATAGGCTATTCCATGTTATATGAATATTTATTTAATTGATGTATTAATTTAATATACCAATCCATGTATATCAGGTGACACTGAGGAAGATCAACAGCACTTGGCAGAAACAAGTCTCTTAATTAAGAGGAACAATACTAATTGGAGAGACAGAAGAGACATGTGGAAGGGGATGTTGAGAACATGGCAGGAGATGTACCCCCAGTGGAGCACCATGTCAGGGTGGGGGAAGACATGTAAGACACAAGGAGCAGAAGGAGAAAATAAGTAAAAAGCCAGGAGCAGCAGAAAGAACTCATCATGTGCAGGAGTTCCTGCACTGCCTGCCACCTCCCCAAAGGAACTGGGGTGATCCAAGGCTAACCCAGGACAAAAAGCAAGGGAAGTTTGTCCTGGAGGCAGAGGGAAGACATGTGTTTCCTCTAGGTGCCTGTTAAGAGTGGTATGTTTGGAGTGTTCCTACCCAGCATCCAAGACAGCAGTCAGTATGTCATGTTACCTGGCAGTAAATTATGAAATAAAATTCTCCAAGTTGAGTCTGGTTTGCCTGCAACACCACATGGCTTAAATAAACCACAACCCACCACTTCCCTACAGCCTTGCAACAACAGTAGCTGGTAAAGGCCAAATTTTCTACTATTTAGCTAATAATGAGAGCTTCTCTCTTCCTGGTTCCTGCATGCCTCTACTGTACAATTTCTGTTTGCAGCAGAGTAGCTCATAACTGCTACAATTTAGTCAGTGCCACTGAACAAACTCCTCCTAGCTGCATTTTATTTTGCACACTCTGCTGTTAAACATCTCAAGAGACAGTCCCCTTGGGCTCCCCACACGTTATTTCACAGCTTAGCTTTGCTGGAAACCTTCTTCCTACATCCAACTTCCCTCTAAAACTTCCCTTTATTCATTTCAAATAAGTCTCATTATTATAATGCTCTCCTACTTCTCACTGAATACACTTTCTTGTTCCCTAAATTCATTAAGTATTAATTCAGCTCTATTCTTTTTGTTTTAAATAGCAATATTAATAACCTGTCCACACCACTTTCCTTTTAATATCCAAAGTTAACTAGAACTTTCACATTCCTTTGCAGAACTGCAAAATAAAGTACTGCAGCAATCAAATTACATTGTGTTCTGAAGGCAGCAGCTACTAAAAATTTAGGACAATATTGGGTAAAGATGGACCTAACTCTTGTAAACAGCAAATACTGCATCACTTAGAATCGACCAAAGATGCCAGATACCTCAACTGAGGGTCTTATAAATAGGTTAAAGTGACATATTTTACTTGAAGGGAAATGTTCTATCTGTTTCCAATCACAATCCAATTTCTCCACTGGTAAATAAAAAAAGCACTTTCCCTCTCAGTCCTCTCTGAGGAAAACCTGAGTGCCATTCCACTTCTACTGGAATGGCAAGAAGACAACAGAAGTGTTAAGTCTTCAGGTCCCTCAAGTTTACAAATTCCCAGTTTAACACACAAATAAGGGCACTGGGGCACCAGAAGAAGATCTAGACCAAAACTATTCTTGAAATGTCTCTAGACTTGACATTTTCCCATATTCTGCCCAGTGGCAAGTTACACATGCAGCCTGAGTGCTTCATTCCCTCAAAATTATCTTTCCTGCCCTATCAGCAATCAGATGAACTTTGAATGTCCCTCCACAGAGCCAAGGAAAGCTGCAAACAGGACACAGACAAGGAAAACTAGAAAACCACTGATAGTAATCAAAGCCTATTGTACTTGAGAAAACAAGCCCTAATTTTGTATCAGGTTCCTCACACCCAGCACCCTTCTGACACAAAAGACACCTCTCTTAGTATTTTAAGATGTCAATATAAACAAGATTACAAATCCCTGTAGACTTTAACAAGGACAGCTTTTGTTTTCAGGGTGCATCAGCCTGTCTGCTAATTTACATTGTAAACACCTGTGAGATTGTAGGGAATTATGGCTCTCAGGGATGACAAACTTTTGAGGCTTTTGGTACATCTTGCTGCATTTCAAACTCTCATAGAACAGGAGTTTCTTTCAGATACAGCAGGCCCAGTATGATAGCACACATGACCCAGACCATAGTTAAAATCTGTAGTGCAATATGAATTGTCATTTCAGGGAAATACAGTTAATATGTTTATCCTAATTATATTTCTTCTATTAGGAGAAATTTTGCTTCTCAGGAAAATAAAAATATCATTTGCAACGCATTGAATTTCTCTTAAGCAATCATAAAGCAGCCTTGAGAGCACTCCCAGGTGAAATCTGCCCTGTAACAAGACATGGATAAGCTACAAATAGGCACAATTAGTGAAGAGATTATCTGCATACACTGTTAACCTGTGCAGTCTTTATGTAATTTAAATCTTTCAGCTTTCATCCCTTGAAGTTGACTATATAGAGAATTAATTCTGTGTTGGTGAGTAGAGATGTTCCTGGGCAAGAGGAACATCTGAGGTAATGACTGAACAGCAGCAACAAGCAGAGGGAACTTGAGGAGCAGTCTTCTACACCTAACACATAAAAATGCAAGCACCACAATACAGGTAACAGGAAAAGTTCAGGAGTTCACAAGGATACCAAAGTCAGAGATGAACCCTGCAGTGGCTTCCATTACCTCTGCCCCAGAAATAAAACAACTCTGACATCCTTTCTCCATTAGGAATGCCACAACTGCAGGCACATGGTGCTGCAGCTGGGCTTTACCAACACAAGGACCTCTTTGTGTGAAACAGATCTCTTTGAATGTCACACATCAAATTAACTCACCCCAATGAAGCACAAGCAGTCTGCAGGTAAAGATGACTTTTAACTGACAGCTCGTAAAAACAATAACGTTGCAAAAAGGAAAGAAGAGAAGCAAAAAAACTCCTCCAAAAAAAGAACATAAACATCCCCCTTCCCAATACTATGAATTACATAGGTATTACTAAGTTTTCCATTTATCATTGATTTTTCTGGATTTGAACTGCATTTCATGTATTCAAACACAAATGCCAAACACCAAGAACCTAAGAGAGACCTAATATCATCAAAAGTAGCAAGTCAGGTTGTGTTCAGTTTCTGCAAGCTGGATATTTACATCTGCCAACCACAAAAACCCTAACACAACTTAATTCTCTAATCCTCTATTTGCCAAAAAGAAACAGATTATGTTACAAAGGAGGCACCTGTAGGAGAACTGCATCTGGACTCTGGCATTTTCTGACTTTAAGTTCATTCAATATTAGGTCCCAAATCAGCAGAGATTTCAGTAAGGTTAAAAAAATATATGAAGCCAAAAGATACTAATCTTCTATGGACTGAGATATATACTTTTGCTCATCTACAACCATTGAGTAACCTTAATGTCTTGGGATCTTTTTAAAATTAAGCATTTTAATAAAATTTTTATAAATCCTTCCAAGAACTTCAAGTTTGTTTATAACCAGTTATTCACAACGAAAATTTATCTGCAATTTAGCTTGGAATATGTTTTTTGTAGACTGTCAATTTCCACTCCCCAAGAAAATATTTTAAAACATTTCACTCCCTATGCAAGATCAAATTACAGAAACAAAAACCCAGATAGAAACTGAATTGAAAAGCACAGTGAAAGATTATCCAGCAGTAACACTTACACAGCAGTTTCCAACATATCTGTTAAAGGTACAATAATACTTTCACCAAATAGGTAATACAATAAAGAGCCAGCAAAAATTAAAAGCAAACTTTTAATCTTATTTTATTTAGGCTTGCTACTTACTGTAGAAACCCAAATCTGTCTGTGACTTTGTAAAGATGGTAGTCAGCATCTTCCCACGGTTCAATCTGAGCACCCTCACGTCCCTAAAAGGCAAGGAAAAAAAACAAAAAAACAAATTATATTTTATGACACAATAAATAAAGACACATAAGGGAGCATTCAACCACTGAAAGCATAACCTTTGGGACACTTTGGGACATGGTGGCAGGAAGTTAGAGGAGAAGAACACCAGTCCTAACCTAACCAACCAAGAAGAAAGAGAGCAGAACACGTATCCCAGCCTTTACAAACATTACTTTCATCACAGAAAATCTCCTTTGATCACTGCTACACAAAATACATTTAAACCAGAGTCACAGTAATCCCACACTTGCTGTTAAACTCCACAATAATCCATCAAGGTCCCCAGAGTGCTATCTACTCCTTTCATTTCCCAAGTCCATCTTTCCTGAACGTGCACCTGCAAGAACACGTCCTGCAGACAGTGCATGCTGACTTGCAGCAGCTGTCAAACAATGCAGCACTGAGTTTTCCCCACAGTTATGCATTCATCCATGTCCCATTCCTGCTCTCCAACTGCCAGTCTTGCAAAAGGCTTGCAGAAGTTTAACTGCATTTCAGCCCTACCTGCTTCTGGTGTGGGCTGTGCACAGGTTACTGGCTGTGAAATCAGGACACCACTCAGAACACAAAGAGAATTGAGTTTGTGGGGGTACACGGGGCTCCAGGGGTAGTTTCTCTGAGAAGCTGCTGGAGGCCTCCCCCATATCCAAAAGAGACAAAGTCATCCAGGTGCAATACGGACCTGCCACTGGCCATGGCCCAGGCCACACTGGAGCAGGTTTGGTGGCAGGACTTGTGACCCCATGGGGGACCCGTGCTGGAGCTCCTGTGCCTGAAGGACTGACCCTGATGGAGGGACCAGTGCTGGAGCAGCTGATGAAGAACTGCAGCCCATGGGAAGGACCCACACTGAAGAACTTCATGGAGAACTTCAGCCTGTGGGAGGGACCCCCCACTGGAAAAAGGGAAGAGTTTAAGGTTTAAGAGTCTAAACCCCCAAAGCAGGAAGGAGTCACAGAAACAATGTGGGATGAACTGACCACAGCCCCCATCCTCCTGCACTGCTCAGGTGGAGGAGGCAGAGAAAATTGGGAACAAAGCTAATCCCAGGAAGAAGGGACGGTTGGGGAGAAAATGTTTTCAATCCAGTTTTTATTTTATTATTGCCCTACTCTTTATTTGATAGGTAATAAATTAAACAGATTTCCTCAGCTCAGGTCTGCTTTGCTCAGGACAGTCATTGGTGAAGGATCTCTCCCTGCATTGATCCCAACTCATGAGCCTTTTGTTGCATTTTCTCTCCCCTGCCCAGCAGAGGTGGCCGTGACTGAGCAGCTGTGAGGAGCAGCTGGTGTCAGCCTGCCACACACAAGCAGGATTTTCCTTAGTCCAAGGTGAGCCACTCGTTTACTGCACACTGTGCAGACCACCAGTAAGTCTGGCACATAAAACATTCCATGAACTCTACAAACAAGGCTGTTGCTCTGTACTCCAGTGACACTTAAAAAGTCTGTAAGTGTAACAAAAATACCTGACTACTGTGCAAGCATTCTAGGCACAGTCTGTGCCAGGCTCTTCCTGACAAGGGGTCCAAGAACAAACATGGTATGACCAGGGCATTTCTTCAGCTCCCCACAACAAGATGAGAAACAATACAGCTCACTCACCTTTTAATTTTTCTACTATGATTTCAGTGTTTGTACTACCATAACCAAAGACTAAATAAATAAAAGGTAAAATGAGAGTCCTTCTGATCTCATAGATACACTGAGCATCCTCCAAAACCTCACTTTCACTACTTCTAATACACTCCCTGAAACAGTCCCAAAGTAACTTGCTATGCACCTGAAAAATGATTGAGTCATTATCTAGAATATCCCCCGAGGAGGGAGAGTTTAATGCACCCAGAGGCCACATTAAACATCAGATTAGTACTGAACAGAGTATTTTAAACAACAGCTAGCTGGAATCATGATTCACTTTTTAAACAGACATTTTATGAAGATGCATTATAAAATGCCTCTTAAATTACTAAAAAGTTCACTTACTCTGTCATACTTGGCAACTATCTCTGCTCGTTCCTGGGCAAGTTTGATAGCAGCATCCTGCTCAGCATCTGCACCTGTAGAGGAATTAAAATAATGTTGTTCAGATTTTCCCCCTTGTGAAAAAAGAACTGCAGCCAAATACTTGGAAAATCAACTTCAGGGAGACTACTTCAATGGAGAAATGCCAAAACTATTGTGTCAAAGCAAAATATGACCTTGGTACATGTCCTGAATACTGCTCAAAACAAAGCAGAGTTACTGCACAGTCTCTTAATTGCTGAGTTTAGACTACTTCTGATTTTTCACCAATGTAGACATTAAACACAGTAAAAAAAAAAATTCTCCACAACCCACTAACTGAAAGACTGAAGAAAGTACTAAAGGCCACTAATTGGCAATTCCACAAACATTCTAATAAAGAAAGCTGAAACATTCACTACTGGCTTAAAACATAACTGTGAATTATTTACAGGATTTGTAAAGATATTGGAATACTGAAGAAATACTGCATGGCTTCTTAGAAATTGCCTACAACTTATTTCTCAGAAAACAGGGAAGGATGTCATTACAGCATCAAAACTGCAACTTGGGCAACCCAGAGCTGGAATAAGTGTAAGGATATGACAACAGGAAGGTTGATAGACAAAAGAAAAAAAAAAACCAAAAACCAGTGTGTGAGTAAGCACTGGACATAAGGACACTGCAGATGCAGCATTTACTGCATGAGTGGAGTTCAAGTTTTGCTCAGTCCTGTTCCCTGAGCAGAAACCATCTCTAGGACATGGACAGGAACAGAGAGCACCAAGAAAGGAAAAGTTGTTATTCTGAATATCCAACAACAGAATGTACTTCAATATCCCAAACAGAATTATATCAAAGCAATGAGGTATATCAGCTTTAATTAATAAGTTTGTGAAATATTCAAGCATCAAATTCTTTTGATTATTAAAAAGCAATGAACTTCAGATAAAGCAAGGCTTGAAAAAGGTTTAAAATATATTTCAGTCTAACACTTATAAAAATAACTCCAAGCATGTGGGTTTTTTTCACTATCTAGTTCATGGCAACATAATGAACTTCAGCAATTGTACATACCAACCATCTGGGCTATGAAATAGAAAAACAGATCAGATATTACAGTTTTCTATCGTATCACATTAACGCAATTATTTGTTCAAACCTAGTGTTTCTTTAATAAAGGTTACCTACATATTTCTCAACATTTAGACAGGAAGTTGTGCCAAGGTGGCCTTCTAAGCCGTCTGTTAGAGATTTAACATGGTCTCTGCTTGTTTTCACTCCACCTTTCTCCAGGGGAACGCTAGGAGAACCTCAGTATGACCCACCACAGACACAAGCACCAGAATTCAAACAGCACTGCCTGTCCCAAGCTTCCCTAAGGGAAGGTCTGGCTGCTTCTTCAAAGCTTTCATTTATGATCCCCAGAAGTCACACTTGGTTACCCTCACCTGGCCCCCTTTGTCACCATCATTTGCCAATCACATTACTCCTGTTTATTAATACATAGAGCTCTGTCATTTTCTCCAGCGTGCAGCAGTACCAGCACACATGTATTTACACAGTTATTTGAGGGAGAAATAAAAAGAATAATTAAATCTGCTATATTTGGAAGCTTCACATCTCTAATCTACAACACTGACAAATAATTTCCTCCCAGTAAGATAAGGGGTAAGTAGAATAATTTCATATTGCTCAGTCTTGGGTGTGTCCAAGCAGGGCGCTGCTCCTCCTGTGCTTTCAGGTGCTGGATCCTTTATTCCTAAGCTGAAAGGAGACTCATGACACAAAGAAGTTGGGTCTCTGGTTTGCTTTTCTCTGGCACAGCTTTACAGCCATTGCAGGGCTCTGTTACCCTGGCTGCCCAGGTGAGCTCTGAGCAAGACAGAGCTCCCAGAGCCCCTCCCCAGTGCTGTCACACCCAGGGGCACAGATACAACCTCACACCACTGCCAGCACATTCCAGCACCATCTACTCCCCCAGCACAATTACAACATCTGCTTCCTAGTCTTTACTAGTTGACACAGCATATCTGCTAAATTGATAATATCCACTAAATCTACCAAATCAACACTGACAAAAAGCAGCGGGTGAACCCTGGTTTTACAAACTTTCAAAGTGAGAAGATAAAGGAATTGTAACCAAAATTAAATTGTGTTTCCTTTTGGAAGGCAGATGTGTGCTTACAGCAAGTCTTTACAGAAGACTAATTATGAGTTTTTAAAAAGTAAACTTTTAACTTCCTTAGAAACCTGACGTTCCTTCAGCAACTTCAAGTATTGATTGACCCAAATCTCCACTTTGCCAAAGGACAGCTGTGAGGAAAAACTCCCTTGTTTAAAGTACACTTGCTGCTGAGCTTCAAAAAATAGGTAAAAAGTCCTATCATTAATTTCCAAGCAGAAGACATTAGATTTCATTTGAGAAAGAGTGAAAGAGTGTGGCTGAACATAAGCAGACAATGTTGTAATACACAGTGGTCAATACATTCACGAAGTACGTAGCTGATACATTTTTTAAACAGAACTGAAAATGGCTTCTATTTTTGTTTTAAAATGTGCTCAAAAGGACATGCATAGATCTTCAAAAACACAGACAATGCCAGTGTAAGCTGAAAAAAGTTTAAACCTTTGCTTAAAAGAATGCCAAACTGTACTTGCACCAGAAAGCAAGTTCCTGATTTATGCAGAAAACGTGGCCATGGCTTACCATCCCTTCCTCTGCATAAGCAATGTGTGAATCAAAGTTTGGCATTATCTGTGTCTCATGACAATTCAATTACAGTTAGTGTGTAAATTATCATATTCATTGCCTTTAAAGTAATCCTCTTTACTTTCTGCCAGAATCATCTTAACCTTCCAGCTGAACTGAGATAGTTCAATGTTTCATTAATCCATCCATACTGAAAACCCAGAAAACAGCTTGAGATGATGGCAAGAGCTTTTATTTTGGGAGATAAGCATTGGACATGATTTTTCTTATAAGAGGAAATATTTAACTACCTCCAACTTAGAAATTACACATTGATTCCTGATAAAGTAAAAGCTAAATATGGGAACAAGAAAAATTCTTTGGCACAAAAATGCATCACTATGAAATTGAAGACAAATAACTGATATTCTAAAGTTTTATCAGTTTTGTTCAGTGTTATCTCAGTGAAAGCAGTTAAAGATATGATACAAGTATGATTAAATTTACTAATTAAAAGTTAGCATTACAGATTACACAGGAAACAATACTATCTCAAATGAGATCAACATTAATATATAGTCAATTAATTAGTAAGGAGAACCGATTTGAACTGAAAAATGGGAAAATACACTAGAAAGGTCCTGATGATAAATTCTGTCAACAATGGCATGCTAAACAGCACTTTCAAGTCCCCCCCAAAATCAGTCAGGCTTACAAGGTACAAGCAGCATGGCTAAAATCCTGTCCAGCATCAATCACTGAATGACAGGTTGGAAGGGACCTCAAGGACCATGCAGTCCAAGCTTTCCTGGCCAAAGCACAGTCTAGACAAGACTGTCCAACACCCAGTTCAGCTGAATCTTAGAAGTGTCCAGTCTTGGGGAATCTACCACTGTCCTGGGGAGATTATTCCAATGGCTGTTCTCACTGTGAAAATTTCCAAGTGTCCTGAATCTCCTCAGGAGTAACAGACATAATGCAAACTAAAGTTATATAACACTATGCTCTATTAATGAATGCTAAACTACCTGGAAGACACTAACTGCCCTAAGTGACATTTAACAGCAAAACAACACATCCAGGTAAAAATAAATACTAGTATAGAAAAAACAAGGTGGCCTACACATAGATGTAAAAATTGAGTTCTGTTTTACTAAAACTTCTCAAATATAGAGATTTTTGCAAGAAACAGAGATATGATTTCATGATCTGATGAAACTAAAAAAAATCCTGCTTTACTCTTGCCTTCATCTTTCTTGCCATCTTCTCTCTTCTGTTCCACATGGATGAAGAGTAGCTGTGGATGGAGTCACCTACAGATACCAGAGACTCTTGACCCAAGGACCCCCTATAATCCACTTAAACATGTATTTTAAGGTGGGGATAGGGGGAAAAATTTACAACAATGTAATTTTATATTCCTGTAAATCACTGAGCTAAACACTGAGGACCCCTCTTGCAGTCCCTGCAGTAACTCAGTTTTCCAGAATAAAGGAGTGGGAACTGGCAGGACCATCCCTTATGCTTCCAGCAGTCAAGAAGGAGCTGAACAGCCTGTGACAGCCTGGCAGCAGCTCAGCTGCTCCTGGTTGGGGTGACTAACAGAGTCCATAGTTACACCTAGCTTTCATCACAGCCTGGCAGAACTCAGGGCTGCTGAGGGAGGAATGGCCAGAAGACAGTAAAACACTGGTCTTTCCCACAAAAAGAAAAGCTGCTGCTCTACAAGGTTTACTAAGTACCTGTATTTTCAAATGTTGGTCTAATCCTGCATGGCTTCTAATTCTGTTCAGCTACAGAACTGCAAACCAGCAAAGCACAGCCTTTTTAAAAGTGATCTCCTTGTGCAATCCACTGAGCACACATCTCTAGTCCCTACAGAAGTAGTCATACAATTTATAGGAATGGTCTTTGGGGTTACTCAAACTCACTAGAGCTGTTCTCTCTGAAACAGCCTAAAAAATGACCAGGCTGTACCTCACCTGGCAAAGGTAACAGCCATGAAGTAGCTCCCTCGGGTTGTAGTATGAAATGAGTACCACCAAGAACCTCAATGAGTTCCTTACACTGAAGGAGTAGTAGGCACAAGGTGCATTGTAGTCCTCATGCATCAGCAGCAGTATAATAAACTGCCTCTTACAGATGTGCCATAAATTTAAGAAGAATCACAGATTCGTTTAGGTTGGAAAAGACTTTTAAGATCATTGAGTCCAACCAGTAACCCATCACTGCCAAGCCCACCATTAAACCATGCCCCCCAAGCACCAAATGCTTCAAATACCTCAAGGGATGGTGACTCCACCACTTCCCTAGGCAACCTGTTTCCAGTGCTTGAGGACCCTTTTGGGAACAAAATTTTTCCTGCTATCCAATCTAAACCACCTCAATGCATCTTGAACTCGTTTCATCTCATTCTGTCATTTGTTACTGCAAGAAGAGCCCTGCCCTCACCTGGCTACTCTCCTGGTAGGGAGTTGTAGAGAGCAGAAAGTTTCTGCCTTGAGCCTCCTTTTCTCCAGGACAAACACCCCCCAGCTCCCTCAGTCATTCTTCATAGGACCTGTGCTCCAGAACCCTATCCCAGCTCCACTCCCTTCTCCAGACAGGCTCCAGCACCTCAGTGTCCTTCTTGTCACAAGGGCACAAGGGGGCCAAAGCTGACCCCAGGATTCGAGGTGTGGCCTCATCAGTGCTGAGTACAGGGGGACAATCACAGCCCTGGTCCTGTTGGCCACACCACTGCTGGCACAGGCCAGGATGCCACTGGCCTTCCTGGGCACACACTGGCTCAGGCTCACCCACTGTGGACCAGCACCCTCAGCAGTGATGCCTCTTTCCATGGGGCTCAATGTACCAAAAGCATCCTGTGTAACCTTATCCCAAATTCTGAAAAGCGATTTCTTCCTTTTTTGTCCTTTAGCCCACCATCGTCTCTCCAACTGCAGAGCACTCTGAAAACCCCAAAAGAACTGAAAACGTTAATTTGTTTCCCATTACTTTACTAAAATTCTTGCTGGCTTGCACATTACACATCCCACTGCTCAAAGAGCTGCACTGGCACAAATTCCTGTCTGCAGGCACCACCACCAGCTGCTATGCATCTACACATTCAAAGCGCATATCAGAGCAATAAACAAACTCTCTGGTCATAGCAGAAAGTCCTTTAAATACTCAGGCTGTTTATTTTCCTTCCAGTTCATTCCCATAAACAACAAAATAAAAGCCATGACGTACACTTAATAGTATTTTGCTGTGGGTACACCATGTTCAAAAGGAAGAATCTTGGTAAATACCTGCACACCAAATCTAAAAGCTGCTCTGAACAAAAGGGATTAAGCATCATTTATTATACTTTCTCCTCACGCAAAGAGAATTTCTAAAACAGAGAAGAGCTTTTAACCTAAAATGAACTAGTTAGTTAGAAAAACAATCTCTTTTGCATAGCAACACTTTCTCTGAAATATGTATTTCCAGAAGCTGAGCTACATTTCTTCCACCATTAAACATAATTATATTCCTTAAATATTATTATTTAAAAATCAGTTATCACTAATTTGAAATGAGAGATAATAACAGCATAATGTAAACAATTGAAGACCAGTATATAACATTTTACACAACACTTTACCAGTCTTTAGACTGTCATTTTCTTCCCAGTCCTTGTAGAGCTCTGTTTTAGTCTTCATGAAGTAAATCTGTTTGCTTCTAGACCATATTCTAAATCAGTTTATCAAAAATGACCGGGGGAAAAGTTCTCCTCCTCCACTTGCTGCATTTGCTCCACACAACTGAGCCACTTGACACGTGCTCCTTTTTCCAGACACAGCCCCTCTACAGCTCCAGGAGCTGCAGAGGCTGGAACAAAGATGCCATTTGTTAATGCCAAGTGTCACAAAGGCACCACGCTGGTGTTCTCCAGCCCAGCCCACAGCCCTGCATTCCAGCTCATAATAAACAAAAGGATTTGAACAAACAGCCTCAGAGGCCAGGGCTCCTGTAACACATCACTGTTGTACTCTTGGGCAAGAATTCTTACTCGTGTTTTCCAAGTACAGGGAAAGAGTTTTACTGAAAGGACTTACTTGAAATGGGGCTTGAGGTACCCTCATTCTGGCTTATTACCTAAGAAACCACAAAATTAGCTAACTCTAAAAATACAGTTTGGATTTCTGTAACTGGAATTCCCTACTTAAAGGATGGAGATTTCACATATTTTCTGATCAAAATTCTTTTGCTCAAGATATCGTGGGAACTTGAAACACCTAGGACCTCAGAAGTTGAAAACAACATTTTTGTCGATAAAAGTATAAAAATTCAGGAGTAAAACCTGGAAAACAGATCTCTGTACCAAATATCACAGGCCAAACACACAAAGCCATTCTCCTGCACAGACTTTAGCCCCCACACACGCTCTGTCACAGTGACATTCTGCTACTATGTGATGCCTGCAGCCAGGAATCAGCCAATTCCATACCCTAACCTAAGGAAGTCAGAGCACACACACTACCAGACACTCTGTGAAGCCAGCTGAAAGATGATCAGTGGCACTGGCACAGGTTACCCAGGGAGGCTGTGGAATCTCTCTCCATCCTTGGAGATATTCATGAGATGTCTGGATGTGGTCCTGGGCAACCAGCTCTGCACAGCCCTGCTTGAGCGCAAGGTTGGACCAGATAACTCCAGAGGTCTCTTCCAGCCTCAACCCTTTTGTGGTTTTCTTGCACTCAGAGAAGTGTTAAAATGCCAGGAACAGGAGATCTGATCGAGTGTGTTGGACTATTCTTTTTTCCCCAGAGACTGAAAAAAGAACAGTTCCTTCAATTGTTTTAACCTTCCTCCCCGTATCGTGTGGCAGAGCACCGAGCCTGGAAATGAGCAGCAGCTCCTTTGTCTTTACCACTGATTACTGCTGGTGGAGCCCACCCAAGCCCAGGTGTCAACAGTTTAGTCTCTGGAAGCAGTAGGAGTTCGGACTAAGCCAGTGCCATGTCCACTACCAGGCACATTTCCCTCAAAAGCAGCATTTTCTTACTGCTGACACAACAGCAATCCTCTTGCTCCACAGAAATAATCTTCCACTTTGCTCATAACAGAACTACTGAACTGAAACCAGCTACTTTCTGTTTCCTTATCTGTGAGCATATTTGTGATGAGGATGACAAGAAGTCACACGCAATGAACACAAGCATTTGTCCCAGGTTAACTCTCTCATCCCTTCACCACGAAAACAATTTGCTTTTTAACATCACTGCTGCTCTTCTACCACACATTAATCCCAGACAGAAATAAGCCATATTACTGACACACATACACACACACATATATATATACACACTATAGCTATACTGGAAATACCTATACTGATACTTCTCTTATGTCTCTCAAATTTAGCATGTCTGATTTTGTGGGTGTTTTTCAAGTAGACTTACACACAGAAAAGGTAAGATTTTGGAATAACTGAAATTTCTCTCTATTCCAAAGAAAAGGAAAAAAGCTAAAAGATAGAGTAAAACTCTTTGGAAAAATCAATATATTCATTATGCTCTGCACTAAAAAAAAAAAGTCCATTGCAACAGCAAACACATACACTCTTAATAATCAGCATTCAGAGTAGACACTGCTGTAGTTTTACAGCATGAGGAGTAATGAGTGAAAAATATGAAAGTAAAGATTTAACTTCCCTGAAGAAACATGACTGAACTCTCATCTCATTGAAAAATTAAGTTTCACTGTGGTAGAACTCTTGCAGTTTTGCAACATCCCCTATGAAACACTGCACATTCACCAATGGAAAATGGTCACAGAATTAACTGCTACTAAAAACCCTCTCAAATCAATTTTAAAGTGATCTCCAAAGGACTCAAAGCAAGAGCAGGGAAATCAAGGCAGCTCTGCTAAGCAGTATTCCACAGAGGAAGCCTGTGTCAAGACATGAAATGAGAATTTAGAACTCGATGTATCGCATAGAATTTCAATCAAATACTCCATCTTGCTTTTAAGCAACAATGGACTAAAGGGCTCACAGAAATACCATCAATATTAATAAATTACTGCAGTATGCCTATCATTTTATTTTTAATAACACAGCTTTACAAAAACTTTAAGTTAATGCAGCAATAAAAGCACAAAACTCAGAATAAAACAGAAATAAACAGAAAAAGAATATACTCTAATAAAATATAACTTGGCCATTTAATTAGTCTTAATTTGTAATTTGTTCTTCTGTGTGTTTCATGTAAATAACTACACCTTAAAATTAGATCACTCCATCAGCAGTACCTACACCTAACCAGCTGGAATCTGCAATTGGAATGCTCATGTCATCACCTCACTACTGAGCCTTATGAAAGTTCCCACAAGGGTTACAAAGTAGAGTGACAAGATCTGGCAGGGCTCTACTGTAATTCCATTTCACAAAGTGTTGTGTGCAGTCGTGAGCCAGAAGACAATTAATCTGCTGAAGGTTAACATAATCAGTTGCAAAGCCAGAAGAAACCATAATTGCCAATTTTCAACAAGCTATACTGAAAAGAGTAAGCCCAATTTTGAACAATGCTCCTTTCTTGAAAGAAAAATAGAACAAAACCAATGCACAACCCACCCTCCTGCCCAAACCTCTGTCAACACAACCTGGAATATTTATGGCAGCTCTTAATAGACTTCAATGTAAAAACTCAGGCTGGGTATAATTTGGGGCTTGCCAGTATGCAAAGACTGGTCTGACTTGCGCCACAACTAGCTAATGTCTTATGTCTAAGCTTAAGTCATCCTTTGTTCTCTTCCCAAGGGTGTAGCTGGTATCTGGCCTTTTCATTACCATTTTTCTCCTTCCTCAGTGCCATGGAAGAGCAGCATGGTGGCCACACAGAAGTGGTCACTCATTCACACGTTTGTCAGGAGATGCAAGCACTGCTGAGCTCAGTGCTCCAGTGAGCGCTGCTGCAGCGGCCGTGGGGGCAGATCTGCATCCCGGGCTCCAGGGGACACAGCGAGCCTGGTGGGTGACATGTTCTAACCCAGCAGCCACGGAACAGCAGAGACACTGCCTTCATGGAAAAACAAGGAGGTTTTCCCTACTGCAAATCATTTTATGGTCTTCCACGGAGAGATTACATTGCTTAGAACTCCTGCTGTGGCTAGAACTGATCCCACTGTAACACAGAATCTGTTTCATCTACGGCTCCTGAGTATTACTCCCACACTCCCCCTGAAATCCCTGACCTTTCCCAGCACTAGTCCTAGCCTTTACAATTATGTCTTAATAAAATATGCTGCAAATCATCTGCTGCATTATATGGTAAGATCAGACACTTGACCTCAGAAGCACTATTGACAGATGAAAAGCAGAAATATTTCAGGAATTTTAACCTCAACCTAATAATATAAGTCAAGGCATCCTTTTATGCCAGTGGCTTTTCAGGAACTGGTTATGATTTTATAAACAAATTAAGTTGAAAATGCCTTTTTTTTTTTAATTCCTTGTACTTTAAAAGTATATTATGCCTGCAGTTCCCAGAGGCTTTTGAGAACTAAAATATCCCTTCTGTACAATGATGCTGCTCATACTTCTTTTAAGTATGGCAGGCTACTAAAGACATAAGCAAAACCATCTTTCAGCAAGACTGAACATAGCAGTTCTCTGCAATAAATTTCTTCTTTGCTTTCCCAATGCTATATATCAGGATGACATATAAAAACATTTTCTCCCCAGCAACATACATCAAAATAACATTTTAAAAAATCTCTGAAATGCTGACATTATTTCCGACATAATTTCAGATTTCCTGTTTTGAACATCATAATTAGTGGTAGAATATGAATGTTTTCACAGCACTGCAATTTACTATATCAATTTAAAGAGTAAAACGGTTCTAATATTTTCAATTCTGACACAAAGTAGAACATTTCATAACAAGAGCTATGCTTCCCACGTTAACAGACTTATATTTAAGTAGTCAGTTGCCACACTGCACTAATTATGTTGTCTCCTGATTAATCATTTTTCTCTCTGCATTAGTCAGAATTAATGAAGCAAACAATAATTATATTTTAAAATTCAGTGTTAATGATGTGAAGTCTATTCCCAGTTTAAAACATCACCAAGACAACACTCATACAGACTCTGGATGAAGTTTTTTAAAAAGAGGGCGGTCCCTAATTTTTGAGGAAGCTGGGTTATTTCTTCTGTAGGGCTAGAGAAGCTGCAACATATCTCTAGTTACAAAATTTCATCGATATTGGTGTCATACTGGCTCAAATAAGAATTGTTCTTCTACACAAACGAGCTGTGAATACACTGCCATACCCACAGTCCAGCTCATCATTTAATTACACAGCCGATTTAACTGATTACAACAGGAAGAAAAGGAGGGTTTGTTTTTGTAATACATGCTATTCTGCCACTTAACAAGACCAAAGAGCTCCAAGCCAGCTCAGGAAAACACCGGCTATGACTGAAGGTGGCAGGAGCAGAACCTGAAGAGCCCCAAGGGGACACAGCAGCAGCAGCTCCCCAGACCTGCCCAGTGCCCACAGCCCCAGGGCTGGCACCGAGCTGCTGTTCAGCTCAGCTGGCACGGCCCAAACCTCGCTGGCCCCACATGAGACTTTGGAAAAGAAAGCGTTCACAAACAAGCAACAGATGAGCAATCCCCTGAAATCACTGATTTTACTGCCCAGCTGCACATGTACTACTACAGCCTTTGACTTTTCTGCCTTCTCCTGGAAGAGATAATGTGAAGCACAAGAGACGAGTCCTTGCCCA